GGATCTTGGGCACGCACACACACACGCCCGGCGTGAGTTTTAAGCCACTGGGTCCGGGACGCGAACCACGGTCAACGGCATGGGAGTCCAGCGACATAGCCATTACGCTAACTGTTGGTTCCCTCATTCATTGCATTTTCAAGGTAGGGTTTGGTTGATTACTTTTTTTTTTTTTTTAAGAGAGTGTTTTGCTATAGGGCGCATGTGCTCACCGGAGAGACAGAGACAGAAAGCAAGAAATCACCCTGCAGGGGGATGCCCACATTGTAATTCCTTCTCCTCCATTCTCTTCTTGGGATTTTGGGTACATACACATACGTGTCTGGTGTGAGTTTTAAGCCACCAGGTTGAGGACTCAAACCATGGTCGACTATGTGGGAGTCCAGTGGCGTAACCATTATGCCATCTACTGGTACCTGGTTCACCACGGTTTTATTTTTTTAAAATAACAATCATTATAATACTGGAGGACACTTATTTACCAACTGTTAAATTTTATGTGCCAGGCATGGATCTAAGTAGCTTATGCTTAATCTTTTTTTTTTTTTAAGAGATTTTTGCTACATGATAAGTGCACTTGCTGGAGAGACAGAGAGACAGAAAGTGAGAAATCACCCTTTGGTGTGTGTGTGTGTGTGTGAGGTGGCCAAGCTACAATCCCTTCTCCTCCATTCTCCTCTTGGGATTTTGGGCTTGCACGCATACACACGTAGCATGTATTAAGCTGTTGGGTTGAGGTCTTGAACTGTGATCAACTACTTTGAGTCCAGCAACATAACCATTACACCATCTGCTATCCCACCTAATCTTTTTAGTCTTCACAACAAGGTTAGGAGGGAGGAACTTTTAATACTTTATTACACAGGAGAGGAAACTGAGGCACAGGGAGATAATTAACTTGTCAAACAATGTATTATAGCAAGGGTGTTGAGAATTTAGAGTATGTTACAAACATACTAAACCACCATATTTTTGTTTGTTTTGTTTTTTGTTTTTAGATTTCTGCCATAGCATTTGCCAGAGAGACAGAGAGAGACAGTGAGAGGGAAAGTGAAAAATCACCCCCCTCTGGGGGGATGGCCCTACTGCAATCCCTTCTCTTGCACTTTACTCCTGGGATTTTAGGCATGTATGCTCAAATGCATGGACCAGGTCCAGGACTTGAACTGCTGGTGTCCATGTGGGAGTCTAGTGCCTTAACTACCATGCCACCTTTTGGCCCTACTAACCATTACATTTGTTTTTAAAGAATTACTTTATTTAACTTTATTTTTATTTATTTATTTATTTATTAACTTGACCAGGGAGAGAGAGAGAGAGAGAGAGAGAGAGAGAGAGAGAGAGAGAGAACCACCATATCCAGGACTCAAACCATAGACAGCCATGTGGGTCCTTAATCATCTTTTTAAAAAAAATTATTTAATTTAATTTTATTTATTTATTCATTTTTATTTTTTTTTGTCCAGAGAGAGAGACATACACACACACACACACACACACACACACACATGCACACAGATAGACAGACAGAGAAAGTGAGAAAGCAAGCCACGAGGTCTGGGACTTGAACCATAGTCGGCCATGTGGGAGTCCAGTGCCCTTAACTACCACACCACCTGCCAGCCCCTAACCAATACATTTTATGATGATTATTGAAAACACTTAGTTTGGATATAGCTTAGGTGTCAGAAATTCTTTCACTGTCAATTTTGATTCTCTAAGTAGCCTTGCTAATGTCACTGGAATTATTTTCCAGTCTTTTGGTCATACCAAATAAAGTATTTTAGATGCCTCTGATGTTTCATTTGCTTCCTTAAAGAATGAGAAGCACCTTGCTATGCACCTCTTTCTTGAGAATGACTTTAAAACATTTTAAACTTTTGTTTGATACCATTTCAAACTTCCAGTAAGTTGTAAAAATGAGAATAGTACTAAAAATCCACATATATCTCTTACATAGATTTACTTATTTTTAAATTTATTTTTACTTACTTACTGTTATTATTATTGTTATTATTTTTTATTTCAGTATGGGGCATGTGCACTCACCAGAGAGACAAAGAGAGAGAGAGAGAGAGGGAAAGTGAGAAAGCAAGTCACGAGGTCTGGGACTTGAACTGTGGTTGGCCATGTGGGAGCCCAGGGCCTTAACCTCCATACCACCTGCTGACCCCCAATTTACTTTTTTTCAACATTTATTCCATTTCCTGGGGCCAGTAGTTGGTATAGTGGTTTCAGCATTGGACTCCCACATAGTGGACTGAAGTTCAAGTCTTGAACCTGGTGGATTGAAAATCACACCAGGCATGTGTGCGTGCATGCCCCCAACTCTTAGAATGGAGGAGAAGGAATTGCAGTGTGGCCATCTTTCTGGGGCTGATTTCTCACTTGCCCTCTTACTGTGTCTGTTTCTCTCTGGCCAGCACACGTGCCCTATGGCAAAAATCGTAAAACAAAAACAAAACAAAGCAAAACAAAAAAACTACATTTACTCCACTTCCTTTATCATTTGTGTGCTGTCATTGAAAATATATCAAAACGATGACAAAAACTATGATCTATTTTTACTTCTAAATCATTTAAGGACTAGTGACATATGTTTTGGCCAAGACTATGTACTTCACTATTTACTTCTTGTGTCTAAACATATTCTTTTACCAAACTACAATGCAGTAATTTATTTGAAGAAATATATATTTTTTAAAAAAATTGCCAGAGGCTGCATGCATTCACCAGAGATATACAGAGAGGAAGAAAGCACTCCCTAATGGGGTGTGGTCATGCCACAATCTTCACTTTTCTATCTTGTGGGAATTCTGGGCAAGCACACTCACATGTCTGATCACTTGGGCCAGAATTTGAACCATGGTGGGCCATGTGGGATCCAGTTCACTTAACAACTGGACTATGAGACTGGTCCAATTTCAGTATATTTAATATTGATGCAACATTTAATCTTTGAGTAGTACTATGATGTTTTTCATTTGACCCAATATTATTATTTATAGTATTTTCCCCTTTAGGTATTAAATCCAGTTTAGAGTCAGACACTATGTTTAGCTATTCTGTTTGAGAATGATTTTAATTATACCAGATTTTACTTTTGTCATACATGAGGAACCATATCCAAATAGTATATAACAATCTTCAGTGCATATCTGAGGGAAAATTAGGATAGGCTTTCTCTTTATTGCTTTATATTTTGCAATTCTTAATGATGACTAGGATGTAGTCATACTAATTAAAACTAGTTATGAGCAACTGTTTCTATCATTTACATTATATATACATAAGTGAATTTGACTCTTTTGGGTCATAGTTGAACTTCTGACAATAGTCTAATGATAATAATCCAATTTCAATTTTAAAAGAGACTTCTGGGTTTTTGTTTTTGTTTTTGTTTTTTGTACTAATTAGCTTAATGAAAGCTACAGGAAAAGTAGGAGACTCCTAGAAGGAACATGAGCTACTAGTCTGCATTTAAGAGGACTGATTGATGCTGACAAATATGGAGTAAAAATTTAGAATAAAGAATCTGGATGTTTAAAAGGCAAGCTGTTGATTTTATCACTCGCCCTTGCCAAGACTCACATTGGTGCCTATTACATTTGACGTTTTTACTCTGATCATCAATGGCAGCTTTAAACTGTCTATAGGATCCCAGGACCAAGTAACAAATCAACTCCAGGAAGGGTTGTGAAATCCTATCTGCTCAAGTCCTCTTTCTTTTTCCAAGAGCCTCTCCCTAGTGGCAAGCCAGTAGCTCATCTTCACTAGAGAAATTACGACCCTCATCTTCTGGCAGTTAATGGCAGCCTGTTTGTTTTCTGCACCTCTCTTTTCCCTTTCTGGATACACAGGGCTGAAGGATAACAAAATGCTATAGGCTTCTAATCATTACACGAGTCTGTCTACTGAAGAGGCTCTTCTGTCTCCACCAGATTTCTCACTTGATCGCAGCTGAGAGCTAGCGGTCCGTCATAATTTGAAATGATTCCATCAGAGTGTTTTTGCAAAATAATCTTGAAAAAAATAAAGTAGGTTATGATCTTTTTTTTTGGAGAGGTTCTCGCAATAGGGTGCGTGTGCTCGCCAGACAGACAGAGACAGGGAGACAGAAAGCGAGAAATCACCCCCAGGGAGGATGGCTACGCTGCAATCCCTTTTCCTCCATTCTCCTCTCAGGATCTTGGGCACGCACACGCGCCCAGCGTGTTTTAAGCCACCAGGTCCGGAACTTGAACTGTGGTCAACTACATGGGAGCCCAGCGACATAGCCATTCTGCTAACTGCTGGTCCCAGTAGGTTATGATCTTTGAAAGAATGTGTATTTGCTTACCAATCTTGGTAATATTCAGTTCTCTGTTCTTCCCTCCCAGTCCTGAGCCTCACTTCTTTACATTTTGCATGTCTTTGGTGTTTTTAATATAGTTAGGTTTGTATATGTAGCACACAATAGATTGAAAACTTGTGTTGATGATCAAGTTAAATATATTTCCATGTATTATCATGAAGAACAGGGACCACTGATCGATACCTCAAATGCCATTCTGAATCCCCAATAGTGTCTAATATAAATGGAAAAATACTGACTTTCTCATGAGAAATTCCCATAAACCATGGACATCATAGTGGAAGTCCACCTTCAGCCCACTCTCACCTCGCCAAGTTCCTGGAATTCCAACACCGTAATGCTATTCTGAAGCTGATATTCTGACTGCTAGAATGTGCTTACCAAATAGTATTGATTTATTTTCACTTTTCTTTGTGATGTGTGCTGCTTTCTGAAAGATCTGAGATCCCAAGGAGGTTGAGAGACCTGATTCTTCTATCTTCCAAACTCTATTGAGGTGATTTGTAGCTTCCCTCAGTTTGGAGCTTCTACTGCTCTGGCCACTTCATTTCAGTGATACCTGAAATTCCCCAGCAAATGTATCACAGACATTTTTACTCAGAAGTTCAAATAACTTCTTTTGCATCATCAGGACTTGAGACCATCGGCTTTTTAAAATTTTTTTATTTTTTCACTCATCATTTATTTACAAATACACATTATAACTTTTATATACATTGCACATTTACATGGTAGAAAAGTACAAAACTATATATTTAAATGAATTTATATTTAACTTGCCATGTTTGAAAATATAAAATTGCATCAGAAAAAAGTATTATGAAAAGCAAGAAACTTGAACTGATAAAGCTTTGATATAACTTTTAGTGACACACTGGTTGAAAAAGAACTAATTTAAAAGGTACAGTCAACTAGCTTAAAGGAAACACCTAACAAAAGGTTGAATGTGTAGCCTTCACCTGCCTTTAGACTCCCAACACCCACATCACTTCATTTCTTTGGACCTGGACATCTTACATATACATTATTAGAATTCTAACATTACTACCATCCTCTCTCTCACAAATATCTTCACCATAACAAGAGAACTGAAGTAGGAGTTTCCTCAAAGACGCACATCTGCTGTACCTTGTATTTGAGTCAGAGTTATAATGCCTTTTGGTCAGTCAAGATTCCTTGTAAACAAAACCCGAGGGATCATGTATGTACAGATCAGGCAGCAGAGAATCCAATAAATAAACATGACAGAAACTGACATGCAAGTTTGTTAGGAGTGGAAGAGTCCAACAGTGAAATGAAGGGAGACAGATGAGTGAGTGAATAGCAAGGAATGGACTTAAATGGTTTACAAGGAAACATAAGCTTTTACTTTACAAGCAAGAGACCTCACAATAAATAACAACTGCTCTTCCTTTCACGAATAAATTTCTTCAAAAACAAGGTGTACAGTCAACCAGACATTTTATGTATAAATTATAAAACATGACACAGTATAAATAAATGTCTACAAGTCTCAACTATGGGCCTCATCCAGTAGACCTCACAATGACCGCCTCTCCATGTCCGATGAGTGACAACGTGGCCTGGGAGAGCGCTTTAGGACAAATGTCCTGTAATGTATAGTTTTCCCCCCAAATAAATAAGCATACACTTATTTACAGTATGGACAATATATTTTTCTTCTTTTCTTTGTTCTTTTTTTTTTCTTTTTTTTCTTTCTTTTTTTTTTTTTTTTTTTGCCCAAAGGCTATGTCAACACTGAATACTGGTGGAGGGTTTACCACTCTAGAATGGAAGATATAGGAAAGCTGTAGTCCTGGTCTTCATCTTCCTCCTCTTCCTCGGTGTCTTCCGAAATGGCTAGATGGGGGAATACAGGGGAGCTGTTGTTTAAATATGGACAACAACAGCGCAGAAGCAGCTCAGTGTATGTTTTCAAAGCCCTCTGATACAGCCATATTACAGCGTTGCATTTTTATGTGGCTTGCAGTGAGATGCTTTTGTTTTGTTTTGTTTTGTTTTTGGCATCTGCTGTTATGCAATAAGTTTTAAAAAATTAAAAAAAAACCATAATCTATGAAGTCAAAAACTGCAGAAAGTTCTGAAGAATCAATGGCTCAGGTTTTCAGATTCCTGAAATTAGATAAAAAGCGCTCTTGTGTTCTAGGTATAACTGCTTGGGGTCCTTAATTCAGAGTTAGTAGAGGCAACTGCGAAAAGCAGCAGCCCATGTGTGATGCTCTCCAGCTGTCTTTGGAAAAAAAAAAAAAAAAAAAAAAAGAAGGAAAAAAATAAAAAACCAAAACGTTTGAAGCAGTTAGTTTAGATTCAAGTGTTAATAAAGCAAATGGCAAAGCATACTACTAAAGCAAAAGAATTAGGGGCAGACAAATGGAAGAAACAGATTTTTAGAGGCAACCCCGTTGATGATCACTGGTAAGTCCTAACAGCCAGGAAACATTGCAGACTTTTTCTGTGCATCACTGGATTGCTGGTGAAATTGAGCAACTACCTAACTGAAACGGAAATGAGTTTATGTGGGTAGGTTTGCGTGCTTTTTAAGTGTCCATTCCCTAGGGCTTGCTTGGGAAAGCCTTACACTGCAGCAAGGTTAAAAATCGCACTTACAGTTGCAAGATCCGGAGTGCTTGACTTCCAGTAGCACGCCTGAGGAGCAGGCAGCTTCCTTCATGGCACACTCACTGGCATAGGTGGCATTGTCACTGGCACAGACAGGCTCATCCGACTTACTGTCAGGGCACAGCTCATCACAGAGGGAACACCGGCCTCTGCCAACCTTGAAATCCCATAAACATTTTTTTCCACCAGTGCACTGGATATCTTCACAGGACTTTGCTTCTAGGATATAATACATCTGTGATGAGTAAATTGATCTCCCCACTTCCCCTTTGTCTCCCTTTCTCTAGTCTCCTGTCAATGAATATAAACATGTCATTTATATCTAATTACTAATGGGGCTGATGGAGATATTATGCAAAAGTGCTTGATAATAACACTGAAGCTCAAATGCACACACATGCACACACACACACACCCTTCCCCCATGCAATTTCTCACACACTACATTAGTTACATGAAAACAGTATTTTTTTGGAACAGAATTTCATAGTATCCCTGAGTTAAATATATATCTGGTTATTTCCCACAAGTGGGATCCTTTAAGAAAGAATTTCATCAATTACCCAATCTAACAGATTTTAAGAACTGTTAAGTAATTATTTTTTTGCTTCCAGCAAGTCTGGCACTTAAAAAAAAAGTGTAAAATTGAGTTCTAAGTTTTCTAAGATGGAGCATTGTTTCTTGCTTCTTGCTGGCTTTTGAATACATATGTCAATGCTTCTAGAAGACAATGGTTTCCAAGAGGAATGCTGTGGTCACAACGGTCTCCCCAAACTGGACAGTATTTCTCCCTCTGCTAAACTATGTGTGGGGAGGCCTTGGGCTTCTGTTATTGGTTAACCCCACAGCTATAACACTAGAACTAGCCCTTTCGATACTCTGTTTTCTCCTTTTCCTTCTTTAGTCCAGAATACCTACTGATACACTTTCCCTCATAGGCTAATCCAATAGATTTGCCCAGCAGACAGGTAGCTTTTCTCAGGTGGCAGGCGCTGGAGTAGGTCACTCCGTCATTCCCACAGAGATACTGCTCAGAGGAGGTGGGTTCTGGGCAAATGCGATTACATGTCACACAGTAAGCATTATTGGTCTGGTCCACCACACACGTGGAACTGCCTGGACATAATACATCTCGACAGGTCTCTGAAACAAAGAGAGAAATACATGTTAATAGGCACCTCTGTTTCTTCCAGAGAGGGCACTTGATATTAACAAGGAAATGAATCTGAAGCGTTCAGCTTTCAAAATGCATTTGGGGAGTCCTGTTGTTTTCAAGAGAAAATCTGTATGTTGGTCCCTTTCACATTCTTTTCTTTTTTGAGAGATTTTTGCTACTGGAAACATGTGTTCCCGGAAGAGACAGAGAAGAGACAGAAAGCAAGAAATCACCCCCCGGGTGGTGGGAGGATGGCCATGCTATAATCCCTTCTCCTCTTGGGATTTTGGGCACTCATGTACACTCGCCTGGTGGGAGTTTGAAGCCACTGTTCAGATCTAGACTGTGGTTGGCCATGTGGGAGTCCAGCGATGTAACCACTATGCCATCTGCTGGTCCCACCTTTCCACATTCCTCATAAATGCCTAAAACTTTGAAAAGGGCTCCTTTATTTACTTGCTATCACTGGTATTATTATTAGCCTCTCACTGTGGGCTGCACCATCCTCCAGGTGTCCTCCAGAGGGTCTACTTAAGTTTTTAAGTGGAGGAGGGAAGCTGAGGGCTTGCTGAAGAAAGGCAGGACCTACTTTTACATTTGCCTTGGTACTGGACTTCCAGTTCTGGCTGCTCTTTACATCTGGCCTTGAGGAGTGCACATTCATTGCGGTAGGTTTTTCCATCCAGCCCACAGACAGGCCCCTTCCAGGTGATGTTGGAACAATCCGGAGCACAGACGCAGCGGGGTTTGTTCTTCTTGTTCATTCGACACTTTTTCCCGGGGCCACAGTCCACATTCTCGCACGTTTCTAGGAGTTGGAAAGAGGCATGGTTTAAAACCAGGGCCAGGCGGCCTGCAGGTCAGCCAGGAGGGCTGCGGTGCCTTGCGCAATCCTGCAGGCCTGAGTTCCCGCTGGAGGGGCCCAGGCTCTCTCCTAGAAGACAGGGAGGGGGCCAGGGGTAGGGAATACAGGCCGAGTCCCCTAACCAAATCTCTCATCAAAGAGCGCTGGTTGGCTCCACCACACTGGTCTAGGAAGACCAGGACCTCTTCGGACCTTATTCTGCCCACAGCATGAAATGGGCAGGTTTCCTGTTTACTGGGGTTCGGGAAACAGGGGAAGCTCAGGAAAATGCTCTCTGAGTCCCAAACTCCAATCAGGTAGCTGGGAAGCTAAGGGTAAGACACCCTTTACTGAGAATGTGCAGGCTGGAGAGGAAGAGTCCTACCTTTACAGGGGATGCAGTTGGGGGCGCCCCCGTTGAAAATCATCCATTTGAAGAGCGTGTTGTCGTTCACGTCCTCCTCGGTCCACGAGGTGCTTAGACGGCCAGTGCTGCAGCACTCCTCCTTGCTCAGTTCGGTCTTGTACAAGACCTGGCAGCGGCCGTTCTTCGCTTGGCGGAGCCAGCAATTCCCAGCTGTGAAGAGACAGGGGTGAGGAGGTGGCTGAGTGAGCAGCAGGGCAGGAGGAGGGAGGCAGCTAGTGCACCAGTGAAGGAGACCTGGTGGGGATCTGGAGGGGTGAGTGTGAAAGAGAGGAAAAGAGAGGGGGGAAGAAAAGCAGAAAATAAGTCAGAAGGGGTGGCGGGGTGGGGAAAGGGGGAAAAACCCGATCTCAGTGATGGGAGGTGGGCAAGCGGGAGGGAGGGCAGAGGGAGAAGCCAGAGCGCCCCAGCCATATCAATGTCAGTTACCAGTGACCCAGACACAACACGTGCAGCTTGCATTGACTTTTACTAGACTGTTTACTTTTATTGGTCTTATTTCATAACCTGCAGCGACTGGAAGAGCAGATTGAAGAACCTGACAAAAACAGGATGCGACGGATGTTTTCGCATGTTGGTTTCATGTAGGCGGCACAGGAATTATTTGTGACAGGGGTTAAGAAAGTAGGAGAACGAGAGAGAGAAAGAGAGAGAGAGAAAGTGTAGGAACAGATCAAGCAAAAGGCACTTGTGAAAAATGAAAGCAAAAAAGCAACCAGGCTCAGTACGGAGTTGCTTGGTGCGGCCTCAAGGCGCAGCCCGCCCGACGGGCCCGTTTTGCATTCCGCCAGAGCAGAGCACGCCCGAGGCCACCGCGATCTTTCGAAATCTCCGAGGGCTGCTTTCCCCGGCGCCCACGTCCCCAGCACCCAGGCAAGCGCCTCTTCCCGAAAGGCGGGCAACCCAGCGGAGTGCGGAGCAGACGGCCGGGGCAGTACCCAGGAGGGCAGTTTACAACACATTGAAAACGTTAACGCGAAAGCAGGGAAAGCAGCGCGTTGAAGGAGGCAGACTGCCTGCCTACCATTTCACGGTGAAATATGTCTGTATCTCAGACCCACCAAGAACTCTTGGCAAGTAATTCCTTCCTCTTCCCCCTTTTTTAATATTCGGAATTTGGTCAGGAAGACTTCTCATGATCATCAATATGAATTGGCCAATAATTGCATCGTAAGCAGCTATTATTTTAAAAACTCTGCTCAAAAGACTAATAGAAATAAATCTATTTGGAAAAAAAAAAACTTCAGAAATTTGCTCTTAATTCATTCCAGCACTTAGTCAGTTGTAGGCTGCTCACAGTTTTACAGAAAGTTAACAGTCAAAGGAATGAGGCAAAGGGGAGGAAAAAAACCTGTAAAGTACTCAAAGCACTCCGGGGTAATAATTTTTTTTTCGGGGATTGGGGGAGGGGGTTGGAAGACGCATCCACTCGACAGAAAGCTACTTCCCTCTAAAATTTTCAGCACCCGCATTTCCAAGTTTGGGCAAAGTTTCTGAAACCACGTCCCCCAGCCACGGAAGAAAATCCAGCATCTTTCCTCCACCCCCTGCACCCTCGGGTCATTTTTAAAAAGTATCCAAAAGACGTGGGAGGGAGAGAAATTCGATTGCAAGAGGGTCGTGAAATCTCCAGGCTACTGATGTCTGTCCCCTTCTTCAGAGCCCAACAGCGGAGAGGTAACATCTCAAGTCACTACGGCCAGAACTTGGAGCACCTAACCCTAACTACTGAGAGACTCCAGCTCACTCCCTTTCCTTTTTAAGGATCACCGAGCTCCCAACTCCGCTCCCGGTCCCAAAGTGTCACTGCCTTCAGTTTCCCCACTCCTCTCCATCCCAGAGTCGCTAAATTGGTCCAACATCTTCGGAGGGCGGCGTTGCTCAGAGCAGACCAAGTGGAGACGACCGAAAAGTAGAACCCCTGTCCTCGGGCGAGCCTCCCCAGCGCATCCCCCTCGCTTACCCTGGGCGCTGCGATCCTCCATGAACTGGCAGAGCAGCAGCAGCAGGAGGCAAAGCCCGCCCGGCTGGTGTCTCGCACGGCCCATCCTGGGGGCAGGCGCGGGGCGAGGAGCGCGGCGGCGCGGGGAGCGGGGAGCGGGCGCGGCGGCGGGT